CGTCGTGGAGCCCTCGTGGGCGCCCCCCGGGCCGTCTTGGACCTTGGAGGCCCCGGAGGGCGGCCCAGGAGGCCCGAGTCGCCAAAAAATCATCGGCCCATGCTGTGCCAGCCTTGCCGCGCTCTGCGGTCTCGAGAGCCTCCGGGGCGACCCAAGAGGCGCCCAAGCTCGCCCAGAAACGGCCCAAGAGCCCCCAGGAGGGGCCCAGGAGGTGCCCCAGACAGCCCCAAAAGAGGAAAAAGGAACTGACGTCTTGGGCCCTCCGCCCCCGAGAAGGCCCCGAGATCCCCCCCCAGAGGCCCCCGAGGTGCCCCCCGAAGCCCCAAGAGGCACCCAACAGGCCCCGAGATGCCCGAATCAGGCCCCAAGAGGGCCCAAGGCCACTAGAGATTCGCATGTCGTAAAACAAAAATTATCCCGGCAAAGCAACCTAACAGCGATGTGTAGAAGCATATATGGAAGCATTCCCCTTAAGATTCAGATGAGAATCCAGTTGTAGAGTTCTGCTGTTCTCGCAGTCGCAGTCGCATTCGCGATGACAGTCGCAGTGGCAGCGGCAGTCGCAGTCACAGCCTCAGCCTGCCTCAGAATCAGCCTGCCTCAGCCTCAGCCTCAGCCTGCCTCAGCCTCAGCCTCAGCCTGCTTCAGCCTCAGCCTCAGTCTGCCTTCAGCCTCAGCCTCTGTGCCTCAGCCTGCCTCAGCATCAGCCTGCAACCGCCTCAGCCTCAGCCTCAGCCTCAGCCTCAGCCTGCCTCAGCATCAGCCTCCTTCAGCCTCAGCCTCAGCCTGCCTCAGCCTCAGTCTGCTTCAGCCTCAGCCTCAGTCTGCCTTCAGCCTCGGCCTCAGCCTCAGCCTGCCTCAGCCTCAGCCTGCCTCAAGCCTCAGCCCTCACCTCAGCCTGCCCTCAGCCTCAGCCTGCCCTCAGCGTCCTGCCTCATGCCTGCCTTCCGCCTCGGCCTCAAGAGCCTCAGCCTTCCTCCAGCCCCTATCAGCCTCACCTGCCTGCATCAGCCTCAGCATCACATCACACCCGAACCATTCCTCGAGCCCTCTGACCACCTCCTTAAAATGCGGGGCCCGGGAATGGAGTTCTGGAACTCGAAGAGCACGAAGTGGCCTACATACAGTTGGCTCCGGGCATCCAAAATGTGGCCCGGGAATGGAGTTCTGGGAAGTCGAAGAGCACGAAGTGGCCTACTGTTGGCTCCGGGCATCCAAAATGTGGCCCGGGAATGGCGTTCTGGGAACTCGAAGAGCACGAAGTGTGTGACTGTTGCATCCGGCCCTCCAGAATGTGGCCCGGGAATGGAGTTCTGGGAACTCGAAGAGCACGAAGTGTATGACTGTTGCATCCGGCCCTCCAGAATGTGGCCCGGGAATGGAGTTCTGGGAACTCAAAGAGCACGAAGTGTGTGACTGTTGCATCCGGCCCTCCAGAATGTGGCCCGGGAATGGAGTTCTGGGAACTCGAAGAGCACGAAGTTGTGTGACTGTTTGCATTCGGGCATTCGGGCCCTCCCAGAATGTGGGCCCAGAATGGAGTTCTGGCCATCGACAGAGCACGAAGTGTGTGACTGTTGGCGAAAAACGAGCCCGGCACCTGCCGCCCGGCAACTCCCAACACCTGCCCGGACCCCCCTGTGGAGTGATCTGTGAGCTCTTTTGAGTCAACTAGAAACCTATCAGTCTTCGCTGTTAGGTAATGAACAAATTTCCAGCAAATGCGATCCTTGTTCCAGAACGGGCTGCCCCAGGACATTTCCTAACATGGCGCGGTCTGGTCCTACCACGTGGCGCGTCGAATAGCTATACAAGAATGGAGCGCGGCACCTTTTCAGACCTGGGTTCTCGCTTCAGCGGCATGCCCACAGGGATCTCGTCCTCCGAGGGAGACTTTCCCTACTGAACAGGAGTGTTTGCAGAGACTTGGAACGGCAAGCTGCACTGCAGCACCGCTGAAGCACCCCGGGTTCGCTCCAGTCCTCCTCCCTCCCTCATCCCTCTCCTCACCGCCCTCCCCCTCCTGCAGGAGCACGCGGGGGGGGGGGGGAGGGGAGGGGGTGCAGGGAGGCGGGACGGTGAACCCCCGCCTCCACGGCTGGATTCGCCTCGAGAGCCTGGCCCCCCTCGCTCGCTCGCCAACCCCCGAGAACCTGCCGGGGCGCCCGGCGGGACCCGCGGGCAGCCCCGCGGAGGCGCTTGGGAGGTGCCCTCAAAGGGCCGCACCCCTGCTCGCCGCCGATCCCCGCGCACAGTCCGAGCGCCCACGGAGAGGACACGCGACCGGGACACGAGACTTACGTCGGGCCTGTCCCCCTACAGGGGGATTTTCAACGAAGAATAAATTATCCCGGCAAAGCAACCTAACAGCGATGTGTAGAAGCATATATGGAAGCATTCCCCTTAAGATTCAGATGAGAATCCAGTTGTAGAGTTCTGCTGTTCTCGCAGTCGCAGTCGCATTCGCGATGACAGTCGCAGTGGCAGCGGCAGTCGCAGTCACAGCCTCAGCCTGCCTCAGTATCAACCTTCCTCAGCCTCAGCCTCAGCCTGCCTCAGCCTCAGCCTCAGCCTGCTTCAGCATCAGCCTCAGTCTGCCTTCAGCCTCAGCCTCTGTGCCTCAACCTGCCTCAGCATCAGCCTGCATCCGCCTCAGCCTCAGCCTCAGCCTCAGCCTGCCTCAGCATCAGCCTGCCTCAGCCTGCCTCAGCCTCAGTCTGCCTTCAGCCTCAGCCTCAGCCTCAGCCTGCCTCAGCATCAGCCTGCCTCAGCCTCAGCCTCAGCCTCAGCCTGCCTCAGCCTCATCCTGCCTCAGCGTCTGCCTCAGCCTGCCTTCAGCCTCGGCCTCAGCCTCAGCCTGCCTCAGCCTCATCAGCCTCAGCCTGCCTGCCTCAGCCTCAGCCTCAGCCTCAGCATCACCATTCTCAGCCTCTGCATCAGCATCAAAATGCGGCCCGGGAATGGAGTTCTGGGAAATCGAAGAGCACGAAGTGGCCTACAGTTGGCTCCGGGCATTCAAAATGTGGCCCGGGAATGGAGTTCTGGGCACTCGAAGAGCACGAAGTGGCCTACAGTTGGCTCCGGGCATCCAAAATGTGGCCCGGGAATGGAGTTCTGGGAAGTCGAAGAGCACGAAGTGGCCTACAGTTGGCTCCGGGCATCCAAAATGTGGCCCTGGAATGGAGTTCTGGGAAGTCGAAGAGCACGAAAAAAAAATAGAAAAATAATAACAAAGTGTGTGACTGTTGCATCCGGACCCTCGCAGAATGTGGCCCGGGAATGGAGTTCTGGAACTCGAAAGAGCACAAAAAACAACAAAAAAAAAATAAAAAACGTATTTGTGACTAGTTTGCAACCGGCGCAATTCAGAATGTGGACGCCCGGGGGGCCCGGGAGTTGAGTTTCTGGAACTCGAAGAACTCGAAGAGCACGAATGTGTGGACTGTTGCATTACGGCCCTCCAGAATGTGGCCTGGGGAATGGAGTTATGTGGCCCGGGAGAGAGCACGAAGTGTGTGACTGTTGGCGAAAAAAAACGAGCCCCGGCAACCAGCCGCGCCAGGCAACTCCCAACACCTGCCCGGACCCCCCTGTGGAGTGATCTGTGAGCTCTTTTGATCCCACTAGAAACCTATCAGTCTTCGCTGTTAGGTAATTATCCCGGCAAAGCAACCTAACAGCGATGTGTAGAAGCATATCTGAAAGCATTCCCCTTAAGATTCAGATGAGAATCCAGTTGTAGAGTTCTGCTGTTCTCGCAGTCGCAGTCGCATTCGCGATGACAGTCGCAGTGGCAGCGGCAGTCGCAGTCACAGCCTCAGCCTGCCTCAGTATCAGCCTGCCTCAGCTTCAGCCTCAGCCTGCCTCAGCCTCAGCCTCAGCCTGCTTCAGCCTCAGCCTCAGTCTGCCTGCAGCCTCGGCCTCAGCCTCAGCCTGCCTCAGCCTGAGCCTGCCTCAGCCTCAGCCTCAGCCTGCCTCAGCCCCAGCCTCAGCCTGCTTCAGCCTCAGCCTCAATCTGCCTTCAGCCTCGGCCTCAGCCTCAGCCTGCCTCAGCCTCAGCCTGCATCAGCCTCAGCCTCAGCCTCAGCCTGCCTCAGCATCAGCCTGCCTCAGCCTCAGCCTCGGCCTGCCTCAGCCTCAGCCTGCTTCAGCCTCAGCCTCAATCTGCCTTCGGCCTCGGCCTCAGCCTCAAGCCGCCTTCAGCCCCTCAACATCCTCAAGCCTGCTGCCTCAGCCTCAGCATCACATCACCATTCTCCAGCTCTGCATCAGCATCAAAATGTGGCCCGGGAATGGGAGTTCTGGGAAGTCGAAGAGCACGAAGTTGCCTACAGTTGGCTACGGGCATTCAAAATGTGGCCCGGGAATGGAGTTCTGGGAACTCGAAGAGCACGAAGTGTCCTACAGTTGGCTCCGGGCATTCAAAATGTGGCCCGGGAATGGAGTTCTGGGAACTCGAAGAGCACGAAGTGGCCTACAATTGGCTCCGGGCATTCAAAATGTGGCCCGGGAATGGAGTTCTGGGAACTCGAAGAGCACGAAGTGGCCTACAGTTGGCTCCGGGCATTCAAAATGTTGCCCGGGAATGGAGTTCTGGGAACTCGAAGAGCACGAAGTGGCCTACAGTTGGCTCCGGGCATTCAAAATGTGGCCCGGGAAAGGAGTTCTGGGAACTCGAAGAGCACGAAGTGGCCCGGGAATGGAGTTTCTGGGAAATCGAAGAGCACGATGGTGTGACTGTTGGCGAAAACTACTCCGGCCCTGCCGCCCGCACTCCCACCACCTGCCTCTGCCCGGACCCCCCTGTGGAGTGATCTGTGAGCTGTTTTGAGTCAACTAGAAACCTATCAGTCTTCGCTGTTAGGTAAAAATACCCCAAAAATACCCCAAGAAGGCCAAAAAATATTCAAAAAATGGTCCCCATACTATTTTCTAATTATTTTTGACTCTTTTTGGTGTATTTTCTATTCTACGTCGAAAAGCCCCCTGTAGGGGGACAGGCCCGACTCGACACGAGGCTCTTCCGACGGCAGCGTGGCCTCCGGCAGCCAGCCACAGGGCAAGGAGGCACCCCCAGCCAGGAGCGCGCCGAGGGCACGCGAGAGGGGGTGCACGGCACGCGAGGGCACCCGCGGCTCTGCAGGGCCGCCCTGCCCGGTGCACGCCGACGGCAGCACCGGCACCCCACCCTCCGTGCCGAGGGAGGCCTCTGCGCTGCTCGGGCTCGTCGGCGGCCGCGGGAGGCGCCGCGCGCGGGGCAGCGCAGGGGCCCCGCCTGGCTGCGGCGGCCGCCGCCGCTCCGGCGCCTCGCCTCGGCAGCGCCGCCGGCGCTGGGCAGGGCGATGACCTGCTCCGCGGCCTGCTCCGCGGCCCCGGCGCCTCCGCGCGGGCGTTGATCGGCCGCGGCCGGCGCGAGGAGGCGCCCCGCTCGGGACGGCCCCCCGGCGCGAAGCCGGACTCCCGCGAGTGGTCCGTCGAGACGGCCGCGGACGGGGCGGCGGCCCTCACGGGACGCACAAGGACATGCCACAGTGGGAGCTCGGCCACAAGGAGCCTGCCACAAGAAACCCGACCCTGAGACCCCAGGACGTCCACCGATTTGTTCGCGTGGGAACGTCACGCTTCCCACAGCAAGACTATCGAAGCCCAAGAAACCCAGGGCACCCTGGAGGCAAGCAGGGCGCTTCTTGGCACGGTTTTCCACTGCAGGAGGACGAAGACGGCTGTCGGAGTTCGAGACAGGGAGCGCTCCAGGATCTCTGATCGCAACGAATGGGCCTTCGAGCCAGCTTAAAGTCGGGCGTGTCCCCCTACAGGGGGATCTTGGACGAAAAGTAAAAAATATTCGAAAAAATCACAAGATGCCCAAAAATACTCCAAAAATAATCCCCTGACTATTTTTTGACTATTTGTGAATATTCCCCCTGCAAAAGGACAGGCCCGACTTAAAGCCAGCTCCGAGCCCCCGGTCCAGAGAAACGGTGCAGACTCAGGCTGGAGCGCCAAAGTTCGGTGTCGCCCCTTGGCATGCCCTCGAGGCCCCACTGTGGGAGGGCGGGGAGGGAAGAAGGAGACTGATGGAGGGGCTCGAAGTCTTCACCAAGTTGTCTGGTCAGCCAAGGAGCTCGGTGTATCTATGTGTATAACTGTGAGACTTCACTTTTATATGTATATATAACATATATAGATAGATACATAGATAGATAGATAGATAGATAGATAGATAGATAGATAGATAGGTAGGTAGGTAGATAGATAGATATATAGATAGATAGATAGATAGATAGATCGATATACATATATATATATATATACACATAAATATATATATATTTGTGTGTAGGCCTCCCAGACGGGATCCCAGCAGATGGGGTCGTAGGATCGTGCGCATCGGCGATGCCTGGGCGGCGCGTCTGCGCCGCCTGCTTGGAGACAATCGGGCCCCACATCGAGCCGCATCGCCGACGCATCGGCGATGCCGCGCGATCCTCCGACCACGTCCGCTCGGGCCCCGCCTCGGAGGCCTGGATCTGCACACCGAATTTTCGCTCGCCGCGCCCTTTCTGGCTCCACGGCCGACCCGACGGCGCGGCGTACGCTTCGAGTCGGGGATCTTCTGACCCGGGTCACTCCAGACCCGGGTCAGCAGGAAACCAAGACATCGGAGGCCTAGAAGTGGGCACCAACACCAACACAGGGGGTTGCCTCCACATGGGGAAGACGGTCATAGATTTCGGTGTTGGTGGCAATATTTCGGCCACCTTGGAAGCCAGAATATTACCACCATCATCGAGATCGGGATCTTCTTCCCTCGGTAGATGCACACCGCCGACATTGGTGTTGGTGTCAATCTCTGGGCCTGCGAAAACAATGGCAATGCCGGGAAACAGACACTGCAACGCAGGGCCTCGCCGACCCGGGTCAGCCCGCATGCGCGGCCGCCTCGCGGCCACGAGCGGCCCGCCCACCCGGGTCAGCCAGAGGGGGTCTTCGCGGGAGGATCCTGCAGGATCCGGTGCCCTGGCTGACCCACGTTGGCATTAAGTCTGGCCTGTCCCCCTACAGGAGGATTTTCGACGAAAAATGAAAGATACCCCAAAAATACACCAAAAAGGTCAAAAAATGCTACAAAGATAATCCCAAGACCATGTTTGGACTACTTTGGGGGTATTGTCTATTTTTCGTCGAAAATCACCCTGTAGGGGGACAGGCCCGACTTAACGTTTGCATTGACTTCCGTCTCTCGCAGGAGGAGAAGGTGGAGGAGGAGGAGGAGGAGGAGGAGGAGGAGGAGGAGGAGAAGGAGGAGGAGGAGGAGGAGCAGGAGGAGGAGGAGGACAGGAGGAGGAGGAGGAAAGGAGAAGGAGGAGGAGGAGGAGGAGGGGGAAAACCAGCGGCCCGGCCTGCGCCGCGCGGCCGCGCCTGGTGGCGCCCCAGCTGTCTCTCGAGCTCCGAGCGGCTTCGCCCTCGCCCTGGCCGCTCCGACCGCCCCCCGCTGGGCAGGCCGCCCTCCTGGCGCAGCCGAGCCCCACGCCCTGGGAGAGGCTCGCGGCCCCCGCCGGCCGAGCGCGCAGCGGGGCTGGAGGCCCTCTGCCCTCCCCCCCCCCTGCCTTGCAGCAGGAGCTCGACCACAGGAGAATCTCGTGAGCGCTTTCGGATTCGGCGTTTCGACACCGGGCGGAAGGGCGGTGCCCTGGCTGACCCCCGCTTGCACTGACCCCCGTCTCTGGAGCCCCGGTCGAGCCCCCCTCCGAGGCTGCTGGGGGCCTCCCGGGCAGCCCGCAGCGGCGCCCACGGAGTGCGTGAGAGGCACGGCGAGGGCAGAAGCGTCCCGAGGCTTCGGGTTCTCGCCTTGCCCTGCGAATCCTTCCCCGTCCTCCTCGGTTCCCAACGCTCCTGTGTGCTGGGTTTTCGTTTTGAGTCCGCAGCGCCGCGCCCCACCTTCTCCTCCTCCTCCTCCTCCTCCTCCTCCTCCTCCTCCTCCACCTCCTCCTCCTCCTCCTCCTCCTCCTCCTCCTCCTCCTCCTCATCCGCCTCCTTCTCTTCCTCCCCTCCTCGACCTCCTCATAACGTCTGGTCATCATCATCATCATCATCACCATCATCATCATCATCAGCATCATCATCATCATCATCATCATCATCATCATCATCATCATCATCATCATCAGCATCATCATCATCATCAGCAGCAGCATCAGCAGCATCATCATCAGCAGCATCATCTGCAGCATCGCCATCACCATCATAGTCATCATGATCATGAGCACCAGCAGCAGCAGCATCATCAACAGCATCCTCATCAGCAGCATCATCAGCATCATCAGCATCATCAGCAGCAGCATCCATCATCGTCATCATCATCATCAGCAGCATCAGCAGCATCATCAGCATCATCAGCATAGTCATCATCATCAGCAGCAGCAGCATCATCAGCAGCATCATCATCACAACAGCCGCAGCAGCAACAGCATCATAATCCTCATTGTCATCCTCCTCCACTGCTTCCTCGTCTTCCTAATCAGCATCATGAACCCTGCCATCACCATCAGCATCATCCGCATCAGCATCATCATCAACAATGCCATAGCCATCGTCAGCGTCATCGTCATTCTCATCATCAGCATCATCATCACCACCATCATCATCATCATCATCATCATCAGCATCATCATCATCACTATCATCATCAGCAGCAGCATCATCATCATCATCATCATCATCATCATCAGCATCATCATCATCAGCATCATCAGCATCATCATCATCAGCATCATCATAAACCTCATGAGCATCCTCATCATCATCATCAGCAGCAGCAGCATCAGCACCATCCTCACCCTCATCAGCAGCAGCAGCAGCAGAAGCATCCTCACCATCATCATCATCATAGTTGTCGTCGTCGTCCTCAGAATTATCGTAATATTCCTCTTTGCCGTAGTCGTCAGCATCATCTAGATATACATGAACACCATCATCAGTATCATCACCGTTCCGCCACACCCCTCACACGCTTCGTGGCCCCGTGGGGAGCTCCACCGAAAGCCCCAGTGGGTGGGCCCGCATGCGTACTCGGGTCCATGCTGGCACACCCCTTCACACGTTCCGTGGCCCCGTAGGGAGCGCCACCGAATGCCCCAGTGTCAGGGCCCGCATGCGTACTCGGGTCCACTTTGGCACACTCCTGCACACGTTTCGTGGCATCATGGAAAGCTCCATCGAAGGCTCCAGTGGCAGGGCCGGCATGCGTACTCGGGTCCATGTTGGCATACCACTCACACGCTTCGTGGCCCCATAGGGAGCTCCACCGAATGCCTCAGTGGCAGGGCCCGCATGCGTACTCGGGTGCATGTTGGCACACCCATCACACGTGTGGTGGCCCGGAGCTCCATCGAAGGCTCCTGTGGCACGGCCTGCATGCGTACTCGGGTCCATGTTGGCACACCCCTCACACGGTTCGTGGCCCTATAGAGAGCTCCACCGAAAACCTCATCGGCAGGTGTACTGCGGAACCACCTGACGAGTTCTTGTGCGTTGAGCGGTCCTGCGGTAGTTTCCACGCGTGCGGAATGGGCTGGGTTCTTCGCCAGGGTCGCTTTCTGCGGAGGATCTTTCTTGGAAAGCCTCGCCCTTCTTCCCCGCCTTTCCTTATACTCCTCGTGTAGAGGGACATGCCCGACTTAACTCTAGTTTGACGGCTTCCCCAGCTCTTGATCCACTGTATGCTCCTCCGCTTCACCGATCAAGGCGACCCGTCCGGGCATGGTTTGCGGATGGGCTCGTGGGGATATGCGAAGCGCTGAGATTTTGTCCTGCGGAGGAGCACTCTTGAAAAGCCTCTTGGGGGCCCTGGACACCCTCGGAAGGGGCTTCCTGGGGGCTTCTCTGGTGCCCCCTGGACGCCCTCTGGGGGGGCGAGCCGCGGTCTCCCCAGACCGCGTCGGTGAGCTCATGGTCGCCGTGGTGCACACGAGCTCATTGGTCCTTGACGCGCGTTGGAAGGATCGTTCGAACATCTTCCCGAGAACAAGTACGGCAGGTTCGTGTCGTGCCGACCCCAGCGTTGGTTTTTGACACCGCAGGGATCGTTCAACCTTGAACGATCGGCCGCTGCCGCAACGTCCGATCGTTCAACATCGATCGATTCTGGGTCGCCGGCGGCGTTCAACCTTGAACGCCCGCGCTGGGGTCGCCGCTGGTCGACACGACGCAAACCTACCGTACGCTCTCCTTGCTTCGTGCTGCGGCTCTGCATGCTGTTGGGTGCCTCCCTCACGCTCCAGGGTCTTTTTGCTCCAGGGTCCAAGCCACGATCGGCTGCTCCTGCTGTACGGCTCGACGACGACGTGGGGCTCTCTGCGGGCCACATCGGGGCCCTGCTGGGCCGCCCTGGGGCTCTCGCGGTCTGCCTGCGGGCCCCGGCTGCCTTGGGACCAGCGCTGGCGCCCGAAGACCGAGGGCCGCAGAGCCCCGCAGGCCGAAGAACCGAAGCACCGAGTCCTCAAACAGCCAGCAGAGGCCGTCGAAGAGCAATGCGTGCTGCAACGGGGAGGGGGGGGGGCCTCTCAGGGTGCCCTTTTGCGCCGTCTTCGGGCGTCTGGTCCGCGTTTTCTGGCCGCTCTTAGGGGCTTTCCTGGGGCCGTTTGGCCACCCTCTGGACCGCCGGGGGCCGGCTGGTCGGGCCCGGAAGAGACGTCCGGGAGGCCCGGGGAGTCCCCTGGGGAGCTCCTGCAGGGGCGTCCAGGGGGCCCCGTGGGGACCGGGGGTCCGGAGTCTGGCTTGAGGGGGGTACCACCCCGCTGGAGAGGGAGAGAGGGAGAGAGAGAGAGAGAGAGAGAGAGACAGCTTACAACAGCAGGCCTTTGACGTGGAATTCTGCAAACAAACAATATGAATGAGCGGGAAGGGAGGAGGGGAAGGCAGAGACTGGCCAGAATAAGGGAGACTAGAAGGAGAGGGGGAAGAGATGAGGAGAAGGAGGAGGGAGGCAGGAGAAGGGGGGAGGACGAAGAAGAAAGAAGAAGGATGAAGGAGAAGGAAGAAGGAAGATAAGAGGGAAAGAGCGTTGACCTCCCTTCTCGTCGCCACTCCTACAGCACTTGTGGTCCAAAGACCCTCTGAAGACGTTCAGGAGAAGGAAAGAAAGACCAGTGAGGAGTGGAGGGGAGGAAGAGGAGGAGGACACGCAGTGAAGCAATCAGCAGACCGATGTTCCACAATTGCGGCGCACCATGCCAGAGAGCCCAAGTAGCCCAAAATACCTTATAATCAGCTGGGAGGTGAGACACGCGCATGCAGGAAAGTGTGTTGCGTGCACTATACGGCCCCTGCCAGCTGGGAGGCAAACGTCTGCCCGCTTGCACAACAGAGCGTGTCGAACTCAAAGGAAAATGTCTGATAATGCGGAGGAGAAGGACGGCGAGAGAGATGAGTTGGACGGGAGTCGAAGAGAGGGACAAGGGGCGATCCCTCAAGGGGGCAAGAAAGACAGTCAAAGTTGGATCCCTCTCGGAGAGTCGCTGTCCTCCTCCTCCTCCTCCTCCTCCTCCACCTCCTCTCCACCTCCTCCTCCTCTCCCCCTCCCCCTCCCCCTCCCCCTCCCCCTCCTCCCCCTCCCCCTCCCCCTCCTCCGCTACTCCTCCTCCTCCTCCTCCTCCTCCTCCTCCTCCGCCTCCTCCTCCTCCTCCTCCCTCCCTCCCTCCCCTCCCTCCCTCCCTCCCTCCCTCCCTCCCTCCCCCCTCCTCCTCCTCCCACTACCCCCCCTCCTCCAGCATCCTCGGGCGAGAACCCCGCCGCAGCAGGAGAGGCCCTGCGGGCCCTCGCCGCGGCGGCCGCGTCTCCTCGGCACCCCCTGGAGGGGCGCGCACGCCTCCTGCGGGAGGCACGCGCCTGCGCGCGCGGCGCTGGCGGCCACGGCGCCTCCGCGCGGGCGTCGATGGGCCGCGGGCGCCGCGCGCCCGGCGCTAGGAGGCGCCCCGCTCGGACGGCCCCCCGGCGCCAGGCCAGACTCCCCCGCGCGCGGCCCGTCGAGGCGGACGCGGACGGGGCGGCGGCCCTCGCGGGACGCACAAGGACATGCCACAGTGGGAGCTCGGCCCACGAGGAGCCTGCCACAAGAAGCCCCGACCCCGAGACCCCAGGACGTCCACCGATCTTGGCGCGGCAACGTCGCGCTCTCCATCGCAAAACCATCGAAACCCAAGAAACCCAGGGCACCCTGGAGTCAAGCAGGGTGTTTTCTTGGCATGGGTCTCCACTGTACTTTATGTCTGCCCTGGAGGCGTGCATCCGACCCCAACATATAGTTCAACCATCTGGTAGTTTATCGTTTCCCGAGCGGTGTGGCCAGGAAGCGCCCGCCACAGAGCTTATGGTGTAAGAGTTCTCTGCGCGCGCGCCGTTCCTTGGGGGGGGGGGGGGGGGGCGACGCGCGCACAGCATCAGCGTGTTGGGGTGACGCCGGCCTCACGGTGCACGAGGGGACGGGGCACTGCTCCGAAGAGGACCCCCGCGAGCGGAAGCGGCAGCGAGCTCACGCGCGAGCGCAGCCCCGGCACGACGCGGGCGAGCAGGGCTCCTGCGCATTCGCCGGCCTGCGACACGCCGAGCACGACATGCCGAGGACGGCAGCGCGGCGCGCGCCGAGCAGCCCCCAGAGGCGCACGGCGCGCGCGGAGCGCAACCGATGAGCGCGTTCCACTGCTCGCAGAGTAACTGCTCGCAAATGGCCTGCATCCGCCGCGGGGGATCGACGACCCACTGCATCGAGGAAAACACGTGTTTGTCACACGTTCGCGCAAGGCACGCTGCGAGGACGGCAGGTTCGCGCGGCGTCGGCGTGCGCACAGATTTTTGACGCTGCGTCGATCGTTTAACGTTGAATCGATCGGGGCCCCGGTTGTTCAAGGTTGAATTCCGTCGGCGGATTCTGCGGCGTTACCGTGCCCCTCAGTGCTTCCGCGTCGTTCCATCATGCGGAGTTTGAACTTGAGCGCCTTCGCCGGCGTCGCCGGCGCGACATCGCCGCATGAACCTACCGCAGGGGAAAGCGCCTCCGCCTCCTCCTCCTCCTCCTCCTCCTCCTCCTCCTCCTCCTCCTCCTCCTCCTCCTCCTCCTCTACCGTAGTGGAACGCGCTCGGTGACTCAGCAGCGTGAGGAGGCTTGGCTGGAGGCTTCGGACGCCCCCCAGCGGCACGCGGAAAGCCCCAGCGAAGGGCGGCGACCGCCGTGCAACACACAGGCCACTGGGAGCGGCACGCGCCCAGTGGCCTGTGCTCCTCCTCCCCCTCCCCCTCTCCGCCTTCTGCCTCCTGCCTCCTGCCCCCCCCCCCCTAGACACAAGAGGCGGCGCGCAGAAGGGGGGTAATTAGGGGGAGCGCGGGCCCCAGAGAAGCAGGGGCGCTTACGGGAAGCCTTCCCCCCTCCCCCCTACCCCGCTCTGCGCGTGGCCGAGGGTGGACATGAGACACGGGATTCGGGGGACTCGGCTTGCCCTGACGGGGCCGTCAGGAAAACGACGAGACCCAGCCCTGAAACTTGGCGCGAGCTTCCACTGAAAGCGTCACGCTGCATTGTGCACGATCGAGCGAGCCAGCCCTGTGCAGAGCTCGGGTGGAAGAAGCCCGCCGTCAAAGCTGCACGTCGTCAAGCCAGCGACGCTGCTGCCGGCATCTTGCACGAAGCGGCCGGCTGCCGCCCAGCGCCGCACCTCTACAACAGGGTACCCTCCGTCGAATTCCAGCACGGGCCCGTCGGCAAGGATCAGCAGAAAGGACTCCCACGCTCTGGAAGCGCGGCGAGGCCGCCGCGAGGCTGCACGCGCTCTGGGCGCCCGCCATGCAGGGCGCCGCCCTGCAGGCCCAGCAGGGCACCGCGCAGGCACGCGCTGGCGCGAGCGCCACCGCCGCCGCTGAGGCCGCCGCTGTGGCCGCGCGCGCGGCCACGCGCAGAAGGTCGGGCGGGGAGCGCGCAGCGGCCGCGAGGGGCGGCCAAGGAGGAGCCGGGCGTCCATGCCCTCGGAGGCACCTGGCGAAGTCGACTCCTGCGCTCCGAAGCCTCCTAGATGGGGTCCGAGCAGATGGGGCCCGAGGATCGCGCCGAGTCGCCGATGCGGCGGCGATGCAGCGGCGATGCCTCGCCGACGTCGGCGTGGGGAACATCGGGATCCCCATCGAGCCGCATCGCCCACGCGTCGGCGATGCTGCGAGAGCCTCCGACCCCGTCCACTCGGCCCCCATCCAGGAGGCCCGGAGCGTTTCCCCGACCATGCCGCAGCCCCCCCCGGGAAGGGGCACGGGCCCGCCCCGGCAGGGTCCGCGGCAGCGGGGCCCCTGGAGGCCCAGCGGGCCCGCCCCAGGGCGAGGCGGGCCCCCGCCGCGCGGCCTGCGAGCGCGCGGCCCAGGACGTCCCGCGGATTGATGCTTTCGATCGCGGCGCGCTGCCTCGACGAGCATGCTGAGCATGAAGACGACGACCCGCCACCCGCCGCCCCCTCAGCGGCGCCCTTCGAGCTCATCCATGGATGCCTTCGCGGCGGAGGTCGTCACTCCGCCTCCGCCGCCTCCTCCGCCTCCCTCCTCCTGCGCCTCCTCCTCCTCCTCCTCCTCCTCCTCCACCACCTTTCTTGCCGTTGCGCGGACTTAATGCGGATGCATGGAGCGCTAGATCCGCCTCCTCCTCCTCCTCCTCCCCCTCCTCCCCCTCCCCCTCCTCCTCCTCCTCCTCCTCCTCCTCCTCCTCCTCCTCCTCCTCCTCCTCCTCCTCCTCCACCCATTCTTGGCCATCTCCCCCGGGCCTGGAACGACGAGCTTGCATGTAAAGACAAGCTTGCCCTTCTTCTCTGCCCGCCTCCTGACCGCAGCCTCTGCTCCCTCTGCGTCTTCGCTCTCTGGCCATTCCACTCGTGGCGCGTTCTCTCGGTTTCGGCATCGGGTCCCAGACATGCGGTGTCCTGACTTGTTGTAAGGCACGGGATCCCCAGACACTCTGACCATGTCCACCGGGACCGGTTTTTCATCCGGAGTCGTTCTGTTGACGGTGCTGGGGCCTGGCGAGGCCCAGTCGGGGCCGAGAACGGCAGGAAAAATCTCCGAACTGCATCTTTCCGCACGCCGGAAGCCTGGGCTGCAGCCTCCCAGCCACGGGGCCATCCTGAACGGATCCGGAGCGCGAGGCTGCCCGCGGGGAAGGGGGCCGAGAGAGAGGCCTCTCTGGGGCCCGCGGCGTGTACCATAGCGTATCGCCCGGGGTCTGGAGACTGCTCGCGGCACGACCGCCCGGCGACCGACTTCGGGGAGGACCGGAGGCTCTCGGGCGTGTCCGAGCTGAGCCTGGGGCCCCTGGGGGCCTCTGGGGACCTCCAGGCGATCCTTGGGGGCTCTTGGGCCGTCTCGGGCCGCCGGGAGGCAGAAAAGAAGCAGATTCCCGAATCCTTCAAAAACCGATGGACAATCAATGATTTGTGCCTCTTGGGGCCTTCCTGGAAGACCTCTTGGAGGCCTCTTGAGGGGGAATGTCATGGGGGGACATTCTCAGTGGCTGGAACATCGAGCTGAAACCGACGATACCTCGCCGAGGGGTCAGCGAGGGGCTCCACTAGCAGATCGTCAGGCTCCCGGGCGGGGTGGGCCATCGGGCCCCTGTCGGCGATGAATGGGCGACTGGGGGTCGATGAACCCCCTGGTGGCTTTCGGGTCATACAGGCCTCGGAAAAAATATCGAACACTCGTGCCACATTTATCGGCCAACTCCCCCCCCTCCCCCCAATGTTCAAAGTTGGCGGTGGGTCTGCTGAGTTGCACTTCGACCGCAGACTCCTCCGCGCGTACCAACTTTGAATTTGGGGGAAAGGTGGAAGGTCTGAGAATTGATTCAACGAGATCAAACGAGATGTGAATGTTTCTCCACTGGACTCGGGTCTCTCCAGAACTACTGGAGAGCAGCAGTCAGACGCTATGCTAAGCTGCTGGGCCTGGGGCGCGGTAAGCGCCACCCTGATCCAAAATGCCTACTGCCGGGCATGGGGGGAGTCTGAAAACCGGGGCAGGACGCCAAAACCAGGGCAGGACGCCAACTTTGAATTTGGGGGAAAGGTGGAAGGTCCATGAATCGTTCCACTCTACCGCAACACAGCTCAAGCCTCCGGCGGCCGTCCGGGACGGTTCGGACACCACCGGCACGCTCTCGACGACGAGGCGCAGCTGCGGAAAGGCATCCCGGGGCTGGAAAGCCGCCGAGAACCGACGAAAATG